TAAATAAATTAATATACACACACATATATATATATATATATATATATATATATATATATATATGTATAAAATTTATTATATATATATGTATATAAATATTTTTTAGTGTTTTGAAATATTGCTTAGAGTCAGTGAAGGAAAAACATGGCAAGAAACATTTTTACAAGTTTTACCAGAGAGGAAAAATGTACAATTAATTGTACCATCAGGAGATAATAAAAATACATATTAGATATATATAATAATAAGAAAAATTTTGTCTACACAAATAATAAAGTAGAATCAAAAGTTAAAATCAATGAATTTGAAAACATAAATGATGTATGTACATAACAAGTATATATTGTAGATAAAAAATATAATTTTGCATTTTATGTTTTATGTTTTTACTAACTTTAATATTTCATAAAAAGTATGTCTATTAATATACACATATGTAAATTATTGTAAACAAAAAAAATATAAGATGTGAACTTTATTCCTAAGAAATTAAATATTAAATACATTAATTTTATATGAATATTAAATGAATATTAAATGGAATGATATATATAAAATATCAATATAAATAATTATATAAATTAAATATCTGTTTTTATTTAAAGTGATCTAATAGATTTACTTTAAATATAATATTTCTTTAAAATAAAAATAAAAATGTAAAACAACAAATTTACATTTAAAAAAAAATATAGATCAATTTTTTCAAATTTTTCAAGAAAATTTCAAAAATATTTTCTATATTTATATAATTTATATACATATATCATTTACACTAATTATTATTTTAAAACGAAGTAGAGTTATAAGAATAAATTAAATTTACATAAAATTAAACATATAATTACCTCAAGTATTTTATATCTAATAATTTTATAATGTAATATAATAAAGTTATGACTAGAAAATAATTCAAATATTTAGAAATTGATTGTTTTTAACAAACATTATTCCTGAAAATTAATATATAATAATATTTAAATAATGATTTAATCATTTACTTAATAATTTTTAATATTCATTATTTATATTATATTCTATTACTAATACTAATAAAAAATATTATTTATAAAATATAATTAAATATTTTTTGCAAAATTTGTAAAATTAATTTTATTAATTTTAATAACATGTGTTTTGAAATTTAAAATTAAAATTTTTTTAGTATATATATATATAAAATTATATAATTATATAAATTATATAAATTTATATAAAATTTTTTTATATAAAATTATATAAATTTTAATAATGGTTTTATAACATGTAACAAATAATTAATTTTAAAACAATATGTACTATTTCATAATTTGATTTAAAATTTGTTACACAAAAATTTTGTTTTAAAAAATTATTGTAAAGTTTCTTTTTTAAAATTTTTTGTAGATATTATAATCAATTTTTCTAGTTCGAATTTTAAATATGTATAATTTAATTAAAATAAAAAAATATAAATATTTAAATATTTATGCAATATTATTGAAACTTAATTTCCGATAAATTAGATAATTTTTACATATAATTTTTGCAATATCAAAATTGGAGCAAATATTTATTATAATAATATTTATTTATCTGTTATATTCTATACTATATGGATATTATAATTTCTTATTTAGATTATTAATTTATAGATAATTCTTTTCTGTTTGTAATACATATATACAAAATCATTTTTGACTACAAAGGTCAAAGTGATATTTAAATTGACAATTGTTATTTTTTGTTTAATTTTATCTTTTTCTTTCAAATTTTTTTAATCTTTTATATACATTAAGAATCGTTTATATAGTCAAAAATAAAAATAAGAAATAACTTTTTCTGTTGCACAAAATATATACAATTTTATGAATATTTTTTAGCATATAAATGTAATTATTAAGAAACTATTATTTGCACTATATAAGAAGATATTTAATTTTCATTAATTTTCGAAATTATTAAATTTTCGAAAGAAATCTTTCATTATATCTTTAAAGAAATCTATATTCTTTTTGTAGCGATTTTTTTATAGATATTTTAATGATTTTTTCAAAATAGAAATAGAAGTTTAATATCTTTTATACAAATATTTAAATAAAGAAGCAAAAGTATCTAAAATTAAAACAAAATAATTATTTTACTTAGATTGTTATCCAATTAAAATGTATTTGAAATCATTTCTTCATTTAATTCTATTCTGCATAATAATAACTTCACAGTTCATATATCAGTTATTTTTCATGCAATGTTATCAACATCTTGACCATCAATTATTTCAAATTCGCTACCACTTTCATCACTGTGACTAATTAATTTGCTTGATATAGGTTCAAGTTCTGCTTCTTCCTCAGAAGATGATCCTTTTTCAAAATGACCACTTTGAAATTTAATACCATCCATATCAGTTTCTTCAGCACTAAGCTCTAATTCAGAATTTTCTATATCATCAGTGCTTCCATCTTCATGTGATGGCATTTTAAGACCCAAAAGTTCTTCATCATTAAAAAATTCTATAAAAGAAATTATTTTAATAGAATTTTATGAAATATATATTTACTGAACAAATATAAAATAAATAATAATAAATGTAATTAATAGTATTTAGAAGTGCTATGATTAATAATATTGAACAATTAGTTATACCATTTTGAACATCAGATAATACACTTGTAGGAGTAGGAGATTGGTCTCCTGATTCTCCTGCTCTAGTAAGAACTTGAAGATTATCTTCAGTTACTGCTGGTAAAAATTCTTCAATTTCACTATCCCATTCTAACAAAATGAAATATTAGATATTCATTAATTATTAGTTATATTTAAAATTATTATATCAATTATTTTTAATAAAAATAAAGTTTTATATTTAATATTATATTAATCACCTTTGTGTAATATCATTTTACTAGGAAGCTTTAACAATAATGCAGGTCCAAGTAAAATGCTCATGCATATTGTATATGTAAGAAGTATACCATTTATAGTACGACCAATAATCCATAGACCCAAAGAAAGAGAGCAAACTGCAGTACAAAACTGAAATCATTTTTAGTGTTTAAATATTAAAATATTAAAATATAATTCAAATAATTTATATATATTTAAATATAAAATAAAATAAAGCATAATTAATTTTTATATAAATATAATTAGCTTTTACATTGAATAAAATAAAAATATATATGTTTATAACATAGATATATTTTTCTATTTATATATAATAATAAAATATAACGATCACAAAAACATTACCACTCCTGGTTGCTCTTTTCTCAATTGCTTCAAATTATGAATTGCTGTTTTTATTTTTTTTCCTATTTTCTCAATTTGTTCTGTTTTTGCATAAGAGCTAAAAATATATTATAAATTTTAATTGTATTAATTTTATACTGTTGACATAATTATGAATATATAAACACAATTTTGGAAATAATAATACATACGCAGCTAAATCCAATGCTTTATTTTCTTTTTGAACTTGAGTTTCTAAGGTACTATAACAGAGAACAACGACCAGTGCAGCACTGCTGGCTGCAGCAAAGCCTCGAACCTCTAATACAATAATACCCCTGAAAAATATATATTCATAAATAATCATTTTTTATTTTATTTTCTTTATAATTTTATTACAAAATGCAATATTTAAATAATAAAGTATTGTAATCAAATATTACAATAATGAAACAAATAAATAATTTATGTATAATGATTTCTTTAATTTTCAATCACGATTTTAATTGTCAACACGTACTGCCATCTAGAATAGTAATAAAGATCTGGTGGGAAAAATACGCAGAAAACATGCAATTCATTCGACGAAGCAAATATGAATATCATAGATAAGTATAATTGTGAAAAAAGAAATGCAAAAAAAAGGTTTTAGAATTACTTGAAATAAGGAAATCTTTTATATTAATTTGTTTTCGTAATATTCGTAAATAAACATAATATGCGTTATATGGTTGAATATGTTACACTTATCATAAAGAAATAATCATAAGAAATATCATATAAAAAAACATAAAGCATGCTTGAGTAACGATAGAGTAAGTATTTACAACTGACATCAAATACCGAAACACGCATGCTTCTATAAACCTTGACCTAGAAAGCGACTTACTTTCAAAGCATTTAGAAACAATGAAATGTCGCGCAATGCTTCTCTTTTAATATACAAAACTTTTTATTAATCATTATTTAATTTTTTAATTATCATTAGTATAAGTTTATTTATTAAAAATAAAATACAAAAATCTTGCAAATTAAATTATATGGTAACAAAAAAATGTGTTATATTTAATATTCATTATTTCGCGAATTAGACGTCATAAGATTTTTATTTTAAAACTAACCAAAATTAAAATTCTAATGAATGATAGAAAATAATAACTGACTAATTAAATTTTTCAAAATTATATATAATTATATTTTTGAAGTGACGCATATCATATAGTACTAAAGGGACTTACCAAAACAGTATATTGAATACAATGACGACAGAAATACTATTCACAGAGTTCTCCCAAAGAAGGATACTTTCCAAAATACCACAAAGTCGCCTCGAAGCTTCAAAATTACATCCGACATTTCGATATCGTTCAACCTTAATAGTTTTCTGTTCGTCTTCAACCTCACTTGCATCATGAGATGTCGCGTTCCTCATCCATCGAAAATAACATGCCACTCTCGAAAGCCGTTCCATGACAGTTCCAGGTCGACGTTGACTGCTTTTGTCGTCCTAATTCCCGTACTCCTTTGGCATGGTACACCCTCGGAAGACTGTGCGGGAGTATTTTTAGCGCGTGACAACGAGAGTAAGACTTTTGAGAACGAACGAGCAACCGCGGGGGTTTCTTCTGCTTTGCATCGGAGAATAGAGTGAGAAGGAAAGAAAGATCGAGAAAGAAAGAGATAGGCTGACACGATAGAGAAGAAAGAACAAAAAGTGAGAAAGATAGAAATGAATATAAACGAAAGGCTGGATTAAGACTTAAACTACGACTGACAAAGAACAAACGAGTGTAATGTGAATAAGATGAACAGAAAAAAGAAAGAGAAGAGAGGGAATAAAGCTAAGAAAAGAAGCAGGAAGAAAAAAAAAGAAAATATAAGGATTGAGTACTTATATACTCTTGCAGTATTTCACGTTCTTGTCAATTTGACGAATACCTTCTTCCGAGTACACACTTCTTTTGTTTTTTCTATTTTTGTCTAAAAATACAAGTTTATGGCTTGCTAACACATCTGTTATTACATTACTGACGTATGTAATACTTACGTATGTATGTGTCAAGCGTTATTCTACATACCTTGACTTCACTTACTACAAACACGTGACGATTGAGCACGAGACGTTGTTACAGTAGCAATTAAACTGCGTAAATTCTTAAATATTTAGTTATTTCGTTATAATTTAATATAGTATTATAATTTATATAATTTTAATAATCTTATTTTTAATCTATATAAAATATAAATTTTAATTTATGATAAAATAATTAATATATAAGTTTAATTATAAATTTTATAATTAATAAAAAATATAAAAAATAGTTCGAATTTCTACAAATTTATATATTCATCAAAATTAAACTGAATTAAAATATAATTAAAATTAATTCCATTATTTTAAATTATAGAGCTATATATATATATATGTATATTTTATTATATTCATAAACTTTATATATATTTTTTTTACTCAAAAAATTTATATATGTTTATTATATGAGAAATATTTAATTTGTTTTTATAAAATTTAATAAAATTTAACAAAATGTTTTTATAAAATTTAAAAAAATGTATAATAATTTTTAAATAAATAAATATAGTTTAAATATTTTCCTGCTATAATTATTCATTTTTAAAAATATTTGATAAATTTTTACATCTTTTTTTTCAACGAAAAAGATTTAACATTTAAATATGCATGATACTTTGATATTTTATATTAAGATTATAGTTGAAATAATAGCTTAAGATTATTTAATTAATTTTTTTTGTCTTTTGAAAAATGATTTAATGAACAAATAAATAAACAATATAAGAAAATAAATAAACAATTTATTTAAAAAAATAATTCAATCAAAATATTAGATTGATTTATCAATGGAGATTTTTTTATATTGATTAAAAAGTATTATTATTACAAAATTTTGTTTATTAAAAAAGTTTTTGTTTTGTTCTCATTTTCTAGCCATTTCATTTTGCTTTAAATTATATGAGATCAAATTGTCCATGTTTTCACTTTTATAATATCAATAATGTAATATAATATTGTTTTTGAAAAATTTAAAATATATATGGTATTTTGTTAAATCTTTAATAATATTAATTTTAATATTTATTAATTAAAGAAAGTTAAAGTATATATATATATATATATATATATATATATATATATATTATTATTATTATATAATAAT